CAACTCAATGAGTATACATTGCCATGGAAGCCAGTCAGGGGATCACACTCGCTTGTTTGTGATCTGATCACCCACTATTTTCGGGGGGGGGGGGGATGTTTAACCTTAGAGATCCTCTGGTTGCAGAGACATGTATATCCACCTTCACTGTGCTACTGCTGGCCAGTGGCCAAGCAAATAAATCTTGATGGACACTTCTCTTTGTAGCCGTAAAATATTCTGTGGTGCATCCGTACGCTATATCAATTTCTTTCCATGCAGGATCTATGATTTGGCTAGATACTTCAAACATCACCTACACCAAGTGGTTCCAAGATCCACCCTCAGCTTTTGCATCATCCTGCGGCTATATCCTGAAGAACGCTCAGTACCAGTGGGGAGTAACTGAGAATTGTAGCCAGGAGTTTGATTTTATTTGTGAATTTGGTAAGAAATGAAACCCACACCCATGCCTTCACAAGACACAGATATAACTACCTAGACCAGGGGTGTTACTTGCAACCCTGGCACTGTGCCATCAAACAGCCCAAAACTGGCACAAAATTGGTGCCTTCTAGCTTCTCAGTAGCCCCATCTATTGCTCCCTATCAGAGCACTTAAGGAAAGCTTTCCCAGATTGTCTCATGATCAGATGTTCTGGAATTCAGCTCCTATAATTCCCAGGTAGTTTGTCTTGGGTTGTCTTTGGAAATTCACACATTCAAGTCCAACATATCTGGAGAGCACCTCATCAGAGAAGCTGCATTAAAGAAGGTAAAGACCCTTTCATTATTTCCTTACTGTTCAGAATCAGGCCACAGCGTTGCTTGTGAAAACTCCAACGCCACCGTGCAGTGTGGGTCAGGAGAAGTCATCCAGATCGGAGAGAGCTTCTATGGGCGGAAAACTCCTCACTACTGTGTCCTCGAGACTCCCCTGCAGTTTGATGACGAAGATGAGTGCAGTTGGATTAGCGTGAAAGATGAAGTTGCAGGTAAGCCTCAAGACTCATATTGCAAGAATTAGAAACCCCACCCTATCTGGCCCTCAATTTGGAAGCCTTCAGAAGGTAATAATAAAGACTGCCTTCAGTCAGGTTTGACCTATATTGACCACATGAGCATGTCCAGGTAGCTTTCTTGGCAGCAATAGGCAAATTCCCTGATATTCAGCCTACAGCTCAAATATTTCTCACCATATCCAGATGCTGACAGATCCAATTCTGCTTAGCTTCTTGTATAGAGCCTCAAGGGGCAAACCAGGCAGGAATCACAACCGGATGGGCTAATTCTACTTTGTTGTAAAGCTACATGGACAGAGTCTTGCAAGTCCTAAAGTACAATTCTGTCTGGTCCCGTCCCCCCCAACATCTCCTTTATGGTCCAAGGAACTAGGGAGGGTCCCATCTGAGTCTCTTGCCCCACACACTGTTCAGCTGCAGACTATGCTGTTTCCCATCTGACTTTTCCCTTTGNTAAAAAATGTGGGCTTCAGTATTGGATCAAGGAGCATTGCAAGTACACACCACCACAGGAGAGGTCTATCTTCAAGCTGTTTCAGAAAGGAATTAACTTTCCCCAGGAGCTTCACATAGCCAGTCCAAGGCCCCTGCTCTCTCTCCACTATGCACAGCTGAAGCTAAACAGCTTTGCTTGGCTAAGGTCAGATTCTGCAAAGCTTCGCCTTCTATCAAAGACCTCTTTCTGCAAAGAACTCTCCTTTGTCCCTAAAGCTTGGCTCTTCAGCATCTGAACGGAGAGGTATACAAGTTTAGTCCTCTTGTGGACATGTCAGAAAGGGCCATAAGCAGGCTAGAATGTAGCTTTCCTGGAGCAGGGCAATAAGATGATGATAGAATCAGAGCAGAAGACCAGAATATTTGGTTGGAAACTGGCATGTCACCCAAAATATCATTGTCATCCACTTTGACATACCACATGTGTCATAGGTTCATTAACACTGGACTAGATAAGAGCTGGTATTCAGCAGGTTCTGGAGAACCGGTAGCGGAAATTTTGGGTAGTTTGGAGAACCGGTAAATACCACCTCTGGCTGGCCCTGCCCCCATCAATTCTCTGCCTCCCGGGTCCCAGCTAATTAGGAGGAAATAGAGATTTTACAATATCCTTCCCCTGCCACGCCCACCAAGCCACGCCCACAGAACCAATAATAATAAAAAAATCTGAAAGGTTTTTACCAGTCTTGAGATACTCCTATTACTCATTTGTCCATCTCTTTCATCCCAGCAATTCGTAGACCGGTTAATGGATTTGCTGGTTGAAGAGATGCAAGGAAGTAATGAACGAAGGTTTCATCTTATTCCTAAACTCTCCAGAAATTTAGTGTCTGCTGTTTCTTTCTATGGATATGCATCCGATTTCCACATGTCTCCTTTGTTCACAGTTTTTAAGGATTGCTGAAATTGTTACATATATCCCTCACGGGAGATATATATTTTGTATGTCAGCATCTCACTATGGATACTGACTTTTTGGCTGAAAACAGTGATGAATCAGATGTTCACGGTTTTTAAATTCTTATTTTGGAATAAATAAAATAAGCAAAAATAAAGAAGCAAAACATAGCCATAAACACACAAAAAGAGTACATATAAATGGGGACAGTAGGATAGGGATGGTAGGCATGCTGGTGTGCTTATGCACGCCCCCTTAGGGACCTCTTAAGAAATGTGTAAGATCCATGATAGACAGCTTAAGGTAAAAGGTAGGGGGGTTAGAGGAACTAACATTAGGATCAGGTAGGGTATTCCACACATTTACTACTCTATTGCTGAAATCATTTTTCCTGCAATCAAGATCAGAACGGATTCCATTGAGTTTGTCTCTATCGACAGCCCTTGTGTTATTGCAGTGGAAGTAAAAGTAGCCATTAACAGGTAGGACATTATGGCAGATTTTCTTCTGCACTAAGATCAGGTTGGAATGTAGACGGC